TTGATAATCCAACAGTTGACACAATAACAACAACTATAAAAAGATCAACATCAGGTTTTCTTATTATATCACCAACATCATCATCATCAACTATTACAAATTCTTCAACATCAACATCATCAACTAATACACATTTTAATTATGAAAATCTTTCCTCAACAATACTATCGAAAACATCCGATAATACCAATAATAATAATAATAATGATAATAATAATAATAATAATAATAATAATAGTTCTAATAATAGTTCATTTCAATGGCCAGCACAAATTTCGCAGTTTCGTCGACCACAAAATCTTAATGCAGGTAGTCAAACACCAAATCCACCTCCAACAACACCTTATACACCACCACCAATGCTTAGTCCATTTCGAAAAGGTTCAGGTCTTTATTATCATGTTTTTTCTCAAACAACGCCAGCCGCACAACAAACATCTACTGTAGCAACACCTATTCTACCATCTACACCAATACCTGATGAAATATCAGGACCAAAAATTAATATCGGAAAAGATTATCAAGCTATTATTCCAGAACTTCAAACGAAAATTGACAATGATGATATAGGTTTGTAATTTAACATACAACAAAATTTTATTCTCAGTATCACACGAATATTTATTTGATTTTATACTAATGTTTGTCTAAAGTTCTTTCCTCAAAAATTAATCTTGAGTCAAATACATTTAAATCAGATGAAACTTTCAGGATTTGTTTGAAATGTAGCGGAGAGATTATGGTAAAATTTTCAACCCTATATCATGATGTTTTCAGGAGATATTCAACAAACAAGAACTATTTGACAAAGCCAAATTCTCTGTCAGCCTTCATTCTATATACTTAATTTTCTTTTTGTTTGAAAGGGTTAGTCAAAATGTGTGGCGTGACAGAGCCCTTTTTTTTTTAATTGTTTCTTTTTAAGAATAGAAAAGTTGAATGTCTAGAAAAGTAGGGTTCTGATTATAGAAGTACTCTTTTATATTATAGTAACAAAGATTATTAAAAAAAAAAAGAAACTCTATCATGCTCTGCATTTTGACATGCTCTTTCAAACAAAAACAAAGAAGATTACATATATTGAATGAAGGCTCATACAAAATTCTGAGTTGCGTGATCAAAAAAATGAAAAACATTTCCCTCTTTTGTTTCTGAAAAAAGTCGTTCTTTTTAAGTATACAATGATGTAAATCATCTATCATTTTTGGACAAAGCGATATTCTAAATAAAAAATAATGTCTTGTATGAAAGATAAGATTTCTGACTATCTTCTCATGCATTTATGGCCACTTTTATCTTCTTTTTTTAATGGAAATTGACTTTTTTTGAGGAAGCCGTAAATTTATTGTTGTTCGACATTCTTGTAAAAGACTTCATGACAGTTCATATCATCAACTGTCCTAGACTCTATGATAACATTCTTTTCTCAATAGAAGATTCTTTTTTCATTATTCTCAAAATATTCTAGAGGATGTTTTTCAAAAGTGACTTACGGAAGGAAGTCCTCCAGCTGATAGATCACTTTTGAGTCGAAGCTATGTGTTTTGTGTAAACATAAATGAGCTATGAATACCCTAAAGTCAATTCGTGCCCTTAGCTTATTGTTTTTGGAGATACTACACTTTTATGACATTTTTAAATAAATGTCATGGTAATAGAAAAACTAATTTTCAAAATTTTGATTTGAAACTTTGCATAGAAATACGTCTTAACACGAATAGTTGTTTTTGTGAATGTTTTAAATCTTGTTGCTGGTCTTACTCTGAGATAGAACTATGATAATAATAACGTGTCTTTTACTTTGCTCATATAAACCGACAGATTTTATACTCGTATTTCAGAATAGAAGCAAATCAAAGGGTCTGAAACTTTCACAATAGACTACTGAGGCTAAGACTTGTCTTTATGAAAAATTTTAAGCCCAAATTCGAAAATCAGCTTTTCGATTATCGCGGTATTCACTTTAAAAAAAAATTGTAAAAGTGCAGTATCTCAATAACAACAAACTAAGGGTACGAACTCTTTTCACGATATTTATAGCTCATTCGAATCTACATAATGCCGATTCACAAGCGATTTATCAATGGCGGAACTTCTCTCATTCATATTAATAAAGATCAATATGAAATATTCAGTCTCAATTAGACATCGATTATTATTTAGGCACATTTTTTCATTTTAACTATGAATTTCTAATTCATATATTATTATTTATTTTTTTTAAAATAGATCATGATGAATTATTATTTTCTCCATCTCAACTTCCATATCTTGATGAACGATCACTTGAAAAATATGAACAATTAAGTCGAACAAATCCTTTATTATTTTCTCCACGTCATTCTCCAACATTATATCCAATAGAATTAGTATATATGTTATTACATGAATATAATGGTGATTTACAACGTACATTAGCTGCTTTACTTGATGGTACAGCTCAAGGTATAAAACAATGTCGACCATTACATCGATATCATTTTCCTGAATGTGATATATGGACTAAAGAAGAAGTTGATGCATTTACAAAAGCAATGGAAACATCAGAAAAAAATTTTCTACTTGTTAGTCAAGCAGTATGTTTCTTTTTTTTTTTGTTCTTATTTAATAATTAAAAACAAAATGAATATTTAAAATTATTTGTTAAAGGTTGGAACAAAAAGTGTAAAACAATGTATTGAATTTCATTATATGCCAAAAGTAAATCTTATAGCTCGAGAAAAAGGAATAAATTCATTAACAACAAAACGAAAACGATTACAAATGTTAAAAAATAAACAACATTTACAAAAACAAACATTTGATGATGAATCATCATCATCATTGAATGAATTTCGTTTAGTAAGTTAATTAAAATACCAAACAAAAAGAATTTGATTTATTTAAAAGAAAATATATTTAGGATGATGATGGTATGACAGTGAATAGTGATAATTCTTCAGTAGCTCATTTTTCCTGTGATATTGACAATTGTTTACAGGTAAAAAATATTTTAATTTTTTGTGAAACACGATCTAGAATGAGTATTGAAGTATATAGGGTAGAAATTTCGACCCCCTTCTCCTTACAGATCGTGACAGAGGCAAGTCAGCGACCATAACAACAAGCTATCATAGACGTTAGACAGAGTTCATCGCAGATCGTTTATCGTTAACATCTCGTTCTAATATTTGAATTACTTTCTTTTATTGCATTTTTGAAGAATTGAGTAAAAGGATAGTAAAGAAATGTTTCTTAGAATAAATAGAATAAAATAATTTTCCTGTGATTAGCGAGAGTAGCCACATCATGTTTCACTTTTTAATCCTACAGAAATTGGCTAACAGCTTGTTATTTTTCTTTTTTGCAATTAGACATTTACAAGTGAACGAGCATATCGTGCTCATCGTAATGATCATCGTCGTATAAAGAACAATATAACACCGCCGACAAATACCAAACGAAGTCGAAATCTCGATTTGAACAAGTGAATAAAACATTTCTTTTTTCTTTCAAATTTTAATGTATACATATATATCCTTTGTTTTCCGTTTTGGTCTTTTTCTTTATTTTTTTTTTCCTCTCGAACTATCGTGACAGTGATGAGTCCTGATAAAGCAAAAGAAAAGTAGAAATAATATATATACATATATAACTATGAACAAAAAGAAAATATCTTTCTTTCGTTTCTCTTTGTGCATGTTTTGAAAAAAAAAAAGCCTTATTATTTATCTGAAAAAAAAGAACGGTGAATTGGATCTCAGTGTATGTGTTTTGTATTCTTCTAGTCAGATCTTTTGTTTGTTTCTGTATGTTTTTTTTCTCTCTGCGCTTTCTCAGCTACATCTAAACAGTTGGATGTAGTATTATCGGTTTTTTTTCTTCTGCCATAAAAACGTGTGTGTACTTGTTTATTATCCCTCTTTTATTGTGTGTGTGTGTGTGTGTGTGAAACCGTTTATGTATGAAAAGAAAACCAAAAAGAATTATTAAGCAGTACTATTTTGATTTATTGTATAATCTTCTTCTTCATCCAATTGTTTGTATTTTGTTTCCGGTAAGAGTAATGTTGACAAAACAACAATAACAGCTAAACCTGCTGATGCATAAAATGTATAAGGTAAATATTCATTACTAACAGATGCACTTATAATTGGTGCGACAATAGCACCAACACGACTGAACCCAATAAAAAATCCATTAGCGCCACTTCGAATTGATGTTGAAAAAAGTTCAGGTACATATATCCATGATACAGCAATTGCACCTGATACGGCAAATTTTCCAAATTGTGCAATAAATATAGTTGCAATTGGACTATATTTTGAAACAATTGGAATAAGAACAACACAAATAATTGTTAGAATTACCATAACCATACACGAACCTTTACGAGCAAGTCTTGTCGATATAAGTAAAGAACCTGCTATGTATCCAGCTGCTTCAACAGCAGCACCAATTAGTATTGCTATATATGGCGAAATACTCATTCCAGCTAAACCATAACTTATTTTTATATAAAGCATCATTGTTGTAAAACCAAGTAAAGCAGTAGTTAATAACTTAACAATAGTTGGCCGATGTGTAAGAATTTGATACACTTTTCGAGAAAATTTTAATTTATTAACGAGTACTAATGAAAATGATTGATTTTGTATAAATTCTTGATAAGCAGGATACCAATCTGCTTCTTTTCGTTTATTTATAGTTGCTATTCGTCGTAAAAGTTCTTCGAGCCTAGTATATTGTCTTTTAGAATACATATATAATGGTGATTCAGGCATAAAATAAAGATAAGGTATAATTAAACCAATAAAAGCTGTATCAGCCCATTTAAGTATTTGCCAATCTTTTGCTATATAAGCAAATAAAGTAACAACACATTCACCAATTGGAAATGAAACAAGCGCAATATTTCCAGCTAAACTTGTATGGGCTGATGATGTTAATTCAAGAACAAGAATAAATATTAGACTATATGCAGCAGCAGTAAGACCAGATGCAAATTGATTTAACAATAAAAGAGCAAATCTAATAAAGAATTAATTATTTTAAATGAAAAAAAAATTAAATGAATTTACTTTATTTCCATTGTCATGGGTATCCATTGGATCATTATCTGAGTAATCACACATGTTACAAATAGAAAAATAGTAATAATAGTAGTTGTTCTTTTTCGACCAAATTTATCAGCAAATGTACCAATAATAAGTAATGCAAAACCACCAGTTTGCATTAGAGTAGCTATCCAACTTTGTTTTGGTTTACTACCACAAACAAGATTTGCTTCTTCAGTAAATGTATATCCAAATATTGATCGATCATAGACCCATCCATTTGGACAATTGATAAGAGTATCATTGAGAGCTTGGGTTGCATAAAGTACACATTGTTCCCATTTTTTTCCATCTTTTGTTTTTGGTATATACCTATTAATTAATATTTCATGTGTTCTATTCATTGGATAATATTGTGTATCATTTGGCCATATATTTGTTGGTAATCGACATCGATGATCAGGAGTGGCGACAGCAAAAACATAATAGAAGCTAGCAATGGCAGAACTCATGGAAATGAAATTAATAAAGAAATAGTGTATAAGCTGAAATCGCCCAAAATCACCGCATTTTCGTAGGATACTATCAAGAGAGAAAGGGGTCGCTGCATCGGTCTATAAATACGAATTTTGAAAAAATTTCAAACAATTGATTTTCCTTACATTTAATTCCTTTTTAGTAGTACCACTGTTGAAAGAATCCATTTCACTTATTACTATACTCATTTTGTCTTCTTGCTATTGTCCTTAGTCAAAAGTAAGTAAAAGATTGTCGGTAAGATAACATTATCTTATCATTTTCATTTATTTTCTTTGTTTTGATTCTTTTAACGCTGTTTTTTATTAGTTTACATCAAAGAGAAAAGCAAAAAGACTTCGATAAGAAATCCGGTAGAGTTGATCACGTGAAGTCAAATCTGACTTGACTTGACAAAAAAGATTTGTTTGATCTTGTTCTTCTTCTGCTTTGATATATTCGTCACCATTCAAGTCATTCATTCGTTTTCTGCACTCTATACATCATTTCAAAATGGAAAAAATTTTGCTTAGATTGCGAGAACTTAACAAGTATGCATCCGAAATCCGTTTTTCAAATACTTCAACTTTCTTGATTGCTTTAAAAGCACGAAAAATGATAATTAACAGCTGACAATTTCCTTACATAACAATATATAATTTAGATTTATTATCAATCACCCTTTCGCTAGATTGAGATAGATCAATGCGATTCAAGGTTTATTATCATTATCTTTAGATCTGCTTGAGAATAGATATAACAAATATTGTCTATGATCACATACAGATATTCAAAAGTTCGTGCAGTCAGTCTCATTTGTGTAGTTTATGATTTCTATTGGTGAGTTAAATATTATAATTCTATCACAGTGGATGAAGACTCACCAATAGCTCGATGAATCGTTTATTTATTCATAATTGAAGTTTAAATACAACCTAAAAAGCAAATGTAATTATAATAATCATGATTAATAACATGGAGTCTGTCAATACAATTGTAGCAAAATTCAGATATATCTCTTCTCTATTAGAGCAACATTTGTTTTATCTTAATATGATAATAATGTAGTACTCGGTCAGAGTCTGATGATTCATCGAATCAACAGCAAAAAATGTACTTGGGCGGGAGTAGGTGTGAGGACATTTTTTAAAAGATTCTTATTGTTATCATTAGAAGGAATAAAGAGAGATAGACGTTTTAGTGTAATTTATTTTTTGGGGTCCAAGTTACATTTTCGGGATCACCGTTAGTGATTAGCGACAAGAACGTAATAATGCCTTATTGGAACTAATAGAAACTTATTTCATTGAGAATCTTTTGCATTTCTTCTGTTGTGGCAAGACACAGAGAATAGTAAATAGCGTCATCTCTATGTGAAAGATACTTTTTAAAAAAATCTTATGCGCAGTTCGAAAGAGAATACCTTTTTACATTTACTGCTGCTTAAATGATCCAGAATCCGTATCGAAACTGCAGATAGTACATACAAGTGCATTTCTTACTATTGTTTCGCTATTCTATGTATGCTTCATTTGCTTTGACCTGAGTACAATGGCGAGTTAGAGAAGTAGTGTTAACCAAAATCGCTATCATATAGAATGCATTTTACCTTTGCTGTGAGAGATAAATAAAGAGAAGATACTCAATGACAGGAAATTATAAAAACTACATACCAAATAGGCATTTCAATTCAATTCAGTTCAATAGTAGTAGAGAGCAAACTCTACGGACAACCGTTTAACGAGAAAAAGAAATAAATAGCAAATCAAAAAGAATGATCGATTGTAATAAAAAGCATAACAGTATCAATTGATTACTATTAGAAAATATATTGAATTATTGAAATTAGGATTAACCATTTTTACTATTATTATCCATACTAGATTTATTTACTATTGATTGATTATCAGACACGCTATGATCCATTCAATAACCATTCATAACTCTCAATAAACCTATATAGTAAATAAGAAATATAATTGCGTGTGTGACAAAAGATAACATACTATCACATCGATTTCACATGATAATGACGATAAGGATTCTGAACGATGTAATGTTTCTCAATTACAGCGTGTACCATGATTATATAATTATGCTTAACATGTTGTCTCCGATAAATAAATTTTGTTAAAAGGAAAATATTCTATTGTGTAATAAAATCATCTTCAATAGATTCATTACGCGTTCAATATGATTTTTTTTCATAATTTTGTTCGTCAAAATACATATGAAAAATTATAGTTATGGTATAGGACTAATTTAGCATTGTTTATAGAGATAAATGTGTGTCATAAGAGAAGGACTTGATCGTCCATTCAGTGACTTATTACGGACTATATTATTGAGCGAAGAATTCAATTTGAAAATAAGAATCGATATAGAAACTAACTAATTAACATTGATCAAATAATATAATTTATGTGGAAGTAAACCAATAAATATTATATGTTGTTTCAATACAACAGTGTCCTATAAAGGTTAGATAAAATAATGTAAAAAATTTCTCTCACTATTCTATTGTTAAAGATTGTCCAAAAACAATACCTCGTGTTAGATAGAATGCAAGAAATGCTAAAGATCAAACATTATTGATTACATTAGTTCTTTTTGTTGTGATTCATGATACTATCAGTCTTACATTTAAAACTCATCATGTATGTGTTAAACAAATACGAGGAATTCAAAAATATCATATGGACGAAAAACGTGAAAGAAAATATTTGATTGTTAAATTTGTTTTTTTTTATAGAATCTCTTTATAGACTAGCCTGATATTAGATATAATTTTTTAATCAGTGAAAGTGGACTAATGTACAAAGAACATGGATGAACATATATTGGCGCATACCATGTAGGTTGCAATAGTAAATCAATTGGTAAATAGTCGACATACTACTTTATTTATGATAGATTCGATTAATAATATAATGTATTCTTTAGCTATAGAACTGATTGGAGATTATACATCTAAAGAAATACATAAATCAGCTGTCGCCGCACTTGAATCATTGATTCAATGTAGTATTTCACGTCATTACATCAAATTTTATCACTGTTCTTACTAAATGACATTATTTGGCATAGTCATTGTCGCTTCTCTATGTGATTCAAATGTTAATTAAGATTTATTGTAGCTTTTCATCAAGTTTTATTATGTAAAATAATAAATTATCGATAATGTTCATTTCAAATGTAATTTTCATTGCTATCAATAGATTCAAGTTAGCAACATTGACTTTTTTCACTTGTGCTTTGTACTAATCAGGATAATTTGATTTGATCTCATGTTGAACATAAAATTTCGACAATATCGAAACATATTTTAAATTTTCATCTAGTATATGTATATATAGTAATGCGTAAGTGTTACACTTTTCACAGATTGATTCACCTACTAAAATGACAATTCAAATGATATTCCCACGCCATCAAAATCGCGGAAAAGTCGACGATTTTTGCCAATTTTTTTCGAGGTTTTCATTAAAAATCGCGATTATTCAAATACAGGTGGTCCATAAATAGCACTACGATTAAAAAAAATTACGTACTTTAGCATCCTTAAAAACAAATTCGCTGGCTTTTGTATTAGTGTTAGTAGTTAATTCAAACTTTTGTTTCCAAACGGATCAAGTAAGCTTATTCTACCATTAAGTCTTGTTGTTCGTATTATGAAAGAAATTTGATCTGTTTATGAAGCAAAAAAATACAGATGTAATGTTTCATAGATAATTTTTAGTTGTCGTCCAGGAGAATAATAAGAATAAGCTAAATCAAACTTTATGACTTGATCTGTATTTATACACATAGAGTAACTTTTTTTAAAACTAATTAATTTAAATGCTGAAATTCGTGCTCATAAATAAAATACAAGCATATTCTTTTGAGTAGCAAAACATCAACTTTCTTGCAAAATGCAATATTTCAAATTCGAAAACTCGACAATTTTTATTCGTTGACTTTTAAACTAACTAGTTTTTAAAAAAAGTTGCTCTATGTGTATAAATACAGATCAAGTCATAAAGTTCGATTTGGCTTACTCTTATTATTCTTCTGGAGGACAACTAAAAATTATCTATGAAACACTACACCTGTATTTTTTCGTTTCATAAACAGATCAAATTTCTTTCATAATACGAACAACAAGACTTAATAGTAGAATGAGCTTATTTGATCCGTTTGAAAAAAAAGTTTGAATTAACTATTAACGCTAATAAAAAAAAGTCAGCCAATTTGTTTTTAAGGATATGAAAGAACGCAATTTTTTTTAATCGTAGTGCCATTTATGGACCAGCCCGTAATATTTTCGTTAATTTGTCGTGGTCATAGTATCCGAACCTACGACTATGGTTTCATCTCGAATTGTATACACCATCATTTACGACAGTTCTTATATTGATGTTTCTGGTGAATGAGGAGAGAGATAATTTGCTTCTCCTCATTCGCAGTAAATAGTACACAAATTTTTTAAATTAAATGACAACTATTGTTCATTTGAATAATTTGAGAATCTAAATAAAAGAAAAAAAAGTTACTCTGATAAAAGAATACCCACTGTTTATGCTGATGATCAGAGGACCTAAAGGTAAGAAAAAAACATTTTTATACAATAATATTTACTTTTCATTGAAACGGTCAGATGATCTAAATAGAGGAAAAAAAGTTACTCTTATAAAATAATGCTCTCTGCTAATGTCGCACTTTTATTTGCAATACCGCCAGTATATCGAGATACTTGTAAGAACTGGTGGTGACGCTTATTACTTTCAATTTCAACTACAAAAGATTGCAGAGTATCTTCTACTCGAATTCGAACTGATTACTAGAAAGAATTTTCATTTATCGGCAAAAACCAGTTTCAAAATAAATTTTTCAAATAAAAGTTTTCTGCGACGCCATCTATAATGGAAAATTTCTCTCAGAATTAGGGCAGATCAGGGCTCTGTGACCAGTATTGATGGCTCAGATGAACCAACATTAATCTAATTGGATCGAAATTGTTTTGATTCTGTCGTCTTTTTAA